TCTCCTATTCCCAGAGCCCATTGACTGTCCATTTCTTTGCTCCTGTTCTGACTGGTCCTCCCTTCCTGGCCATTCTCTCCTTCTTCTTTCAGGTATTTACTCAACATGCCATTATTTAGCACCTGCTGCATACTGCCAAGGATTGTGAATACAACTGGGAAAGTGGCTTCCAGAGTTTCTGCCCTGGTGGAGCTTGAGAAGACAAGAACAGTAAAGAGGAATGAAGGGGAAACACAGGAGACACAGAGGCACACAGCCATTCTGGCATATCACCAGCTTGGGAACAAAAGGATCACCAACACCACAAAGCTTAGGTGAATCAGCAGATACCATGATTGTGGGTCTGAATTTCATAGTCACTTGACTCAATGAAGGGTGAAGCTAAAACTCTATTTTAATAAATGTCACTAAATTCAAGGTAAATTAAATAGCTTCTTTATGTAAACTTCCTCTCCTGCATAATCTAAGTTGGGGTAAAAAAAAAATGACGCCTCATTCCAGGGCTGCCTCGCCATCACCCACAGCCACCTGCCGCCATGACACTAGGTCCACTCCAGTGTGCCCGAGTCTCTCCTCTGCCTCTGAGTGCCCCACACTCAAAGTTTCTGGATTCCTTACCTCCAGAGCATGTAAAATATTGTTAACACCCAAACACTCTCTCTTTTCAATGAGCCTCCCTTTAATTTCTCATGCAGAGAAATTTATCATGTCTTTATCTTAACATCACCCCTGCATTCTATGTCCCAGGTCTTACATTTGCATAACCCATAGCCACACAAAATTTATTTTACAATCCAACAGCCATGTTCCTCCAAAGGGAAACTGTATAAAAGTATAGGAATAGGTACAGTTATTTAAAAATGAATATTTCCCCCTCTTTTGTTCTGCTGCATGTAAAATGTTGAAGTCCCGAATCCACTCTCTTCCCCAGGAATCATGCAGTCATCCAAGCATGAAGTGCACTTTTCCACAGGAGGATTTTAGTTTCAGTTGGTGTTTGGTTGCCCCAGGTTCCAAGGTGGAAAAAACTGGCATGAATTACTGGGAGCAAATTTGCCTACAGATCCTTAACAGGGGTTATAAAGCCCTGCATGCCACACAAACTATTTTGCATCTTTCCAGTGGTACATGTTCTACCAGTTTTTCCATTATCATGATTAATTCAAGATGTAAATATCAAGGATTTGGGGGGTATATGGCCTCTGAGTGACCCATACCTTCTTTTTTCTTCTTTTAGTACAGGAAATGGAAAGTTAGTTCCCTTCTGACTAAGAGAAGGTGTTTTCAGCTCCTCTTCTCCTTAGGAAGTTTAAGATCAGCCAGCAGCATCGAGGAGAACTTGAGATGTCTATGGCTCATCCTAGAGTAAGTAGGTAAGGGACTGTTCCTTTCCACGTATGTCCTCTCATGGCCACAGCCGCCATCAGGCTTCCAAATATATCCACTGATTAAATTTTCAGAGCAGTGCTCTCCTTGAAACCCCATCAGCTCAATACACATTCAACAGTAGCAGCTCATGCAGATGAAGGGAAATCAAGGTGGACAGCTGTTTGGGAGGAGAGCTCTGGAAGTGAAAGGCCCCAACCATCAAGGTCAAAGCGTGAAGGATACTGTGCAGGGTAGCCTAAGGCAGATTGGCCAGGTGATCACGCTTCTCTTCAAGGAGTAAGAAGCTCAACTGGGGATCAAGGCAAGGACAAAATGGCAGAGCAGATAGTGAAATTACCAGCATGTGCAAGGTATGGATTATTAAGGGGGGGGACACCAGGGTCAAGGCACTTTGCTGAGCTCTGAGAAGCACTGGTCCAAAGCTGAACATACTGAATGTTCTCACTTGGGCGCCCACCCTGCAGGAGCTAGGCTGATAGGTTGCCTCTCCCAAGTGCACACTTAAAAGCCAGACCAACTCTCCCTTGAAGAAACAGAGACAACACTTCCTACATGGACTGAGCATAAAATCAGTTGCATTCCTACGGCCATGTGGTCCCCATCACTCACCATCCCTCTTTTCCAGGCCTGTTCTGGGCTATAATATTTTTTTTGAAAAAGATTCCAGATAAACACAGGCTTGTTATTGGTATAAGCTCAGAGCCCCTTTAAAGAATGATGAACAAATTATTTCCTTGTTCGGTCACACAAAACTCACTAGTTGGGCTCACATTTCAGAACTGAAGACTACAATTGAAACGACTCGGATGCATGCCCTCTGAACAATAAAAGTTTATAACCCACCTGCCCTGAGGTAATCCTGGGAATCTGGATGGGGAGCAGAAAGTCCTGAAGCTCTGTTCCCTGAGCGATGGAACCCACAACATTTGGTTGTACCTCAAACCCACTTGCCCTCTACTACTTCAGCAAAGGAAGTGGGGCAGGCAAGGGGATTGTTTAGCTGTCTCACATCCATAATCCTGGTCCTCGCTTTCAAGCCCTGGAATTATAGCATTAAACCCATTTTACATATGATTCCTCCAAGGTCACACAGCTGGCGTTTATGAATTTAGAATTTCATTCCAGATCCCAAATCCAAATATCTGCCGGGCACTATGTCCAAAAAGTCCTGCCAAAAGGAACAGGGGGAGGGAGGGGAACAGGGCTTATTTCCTGAGGCTTAACATCAGGATATCAGGATTTCATAGATTTTTCAAAGATGGTGCTGGAGACTTCAGTAGAAGGCTTGATTCGTTTGAAGTAAAGCTGAGATAATGGGAAACACTGAATTTGTTTTGTAAAAATCCCTTGTTTGGCTCTTCCAAAGTCCAGCTTTTTCCAATAAAATGGCATGTTCATAGCTTTTTTTTTTTTTTTTTTTTTTTTGCTTTGCTGAGTCTGAATGGCCCTCCTGCAGCCACAGCCCAGAAAGGAAGAGGCAGAGTTGCAGGGCGTGTCCACTGACCCAGTGTCGCCTCTGTCCCCACCAGGACCTGTTGCTGGTGAGGCTAAAGAGGAGTCAAGTCTCCTTCCAATCCAAGAATCATCAAGAGAGGATGCAATTTTGGATTGCCGTGGTCTGGAATTCCTCTGGTAGCTTTTGAAACTAGAAAAGGTAAAGAGAAGGGACTTGCAGCAGTTGAGTGTCCAGCGAAGTGATCTACATACCTGGTGACCCTCAATCTTAACAGCATCCCTGTAAGATAGGACTTTTTAACCTTGTTTTGGGGGATGATGATGGTGATAAGTCATTGAGAAGATTTGAACTTCTCAAGGTCTTCTAGCTAGGACACAGCTTTTGGAATCTAATCCCAGATCTGCCTGGCTCCAATGCCTTTTATAATTCTACAACACTTTTGGCAGCCAAATTTAACGCCCTTGGAATACGCCATGTGCTTTAGCTTCTAATTCCCCGGGAAAAGAGATGGAAACAGCAAGGGCCGGGCACTCCAAATTAACAATGCCAACTCACGTTTGTTCTTCAAAAATCCAAAGCATGTCTCTTCTTCTTTAGGGCATTGCTCCTCAACATGATTTGTGGGTGGTGCTTTCTGTGCACTGTTACTGATGCATTTTAAGAGCAAAAATTGGGAGAAAGCAAGCATTTATAGCTATTGACAGAGTGATTTTTTGGTAATGCCTCAAAATAACAAAATACTTGGAATTTTAGTCCACATTTTTTTCCTTTTATTCTTCTGATAATCTATTGTTCATTATGGTTTACAAAAATATTAGTGTGTAACATATTGGAAATTAAAGAAATAAAAATTCATTCTTCACTCTAAGTTTGAGAAGCAATGATCCCAATTTTGAGAGATGTTTGAAAGTAGGGACCATCTTTAGTGTCCATTAAATGAACGCTTTGACACAGGCCTGGATAATGCCACGTTCCACTGAAGGATGACTACTTGTTGGAAACAGTTCCTGGGCCGTAAGACTAGCACCGCAGGCATTCTGATCCACAGCAGCGGTCCTGTGAGCAGTTAAAGGCATGGACACTGGAGGGAAGGGGAACTGGGTTTGAACCCTGTATTTACAACTAAGCAGCTGTGTGATCTTGAGAAAGGCACTTAGTTTTACTGTGACTCAGTTTCTGCCTCTATGGAAAAGACACATGCATTAGGGAAATGGAAATGGAAACTATAACGAGAGGCTACCCAACACCTCTAATTCTGTTGCTGTAATTATAACTATCCTGGTTTTGGCAAGTAGAAAACACTCTCCATACAGTACCCTCAGCCAGCTCACCATGGTGGTGTTGGAATACAGGCTGAAGCCAGGCTCTGTGGTGAGCACACAGGCTGTCGGAGCCATGGGCAATGTGCAGGACGCTCCACGCAGATTGGGCGAAAACTGGGGACCCTGGGCTCTCAGAAGTGGCCTCTGTGGACCTGCAATCATGGTAGCTGCTCTAGACCTGTGGAAATCAAGCACTTCTAGGGATCAGGTCCATGTTAGGGATGAAAGGCAGACCCAGGACCAGGCTGAGGGAATAGGACACCTAGGAACTCTCTCTAGTTTTTCATCTTTTAAAAGAAGATTTGGAAACAAATAGTCCTGATGAACTAGGGGCCACCAGAAAAGGAATTTCGAGGTAACTTTAGTTCAATCCTTTCCATTTACAGGTAAGAAGACTGCGACCCAGAGTAGAAATGGACACACAGCAGTTTAGGGGACAGTGGGATTGAAATGCAGGGTTTGGGTCCTCCTTGGTGGACCTTGAGGCTCTTCTCCATTTCCCATCCCCTGAATCCAACATAACCTCCCCATTCTCTCCTCCCATGAACTCCTGGCAGCCACCATTCTTCTTTCTGTCTCTGAATTTGACCACTCTGGTAGTCACCAAGGTATTATACCTCATATACATAGAATCATATCTCTTGTCTTTTTGTGACTGGCTTATTTCCCTTAGTAAAATGTTTTTATTTTTTAGCATGTGACAGAATCCCTATTTCCTTCCTTTGCAAGGTTGCATAATATTCCACCGTATATAGACACCACATTTTCTTTATTTATCCATCCATCAGCGTACATTTAGGCTGGTCCTACTTTTTGGCTATTGTGAATAATGCAATGAACATGGGTGTATAAATATCTCTTCATGCCCCTGCTTTATTATGTGTGTGTGTGTGTGTGTGTGTGTATGCACACGTGCTGTGAAGTGGGATTGGTGGATCCTACAGTGATTCTAATTGCTGAGGAGCTATCCTACGTCTTGCTCAACGCGCTGCACCATTTTACTCCCATCAGCAGTGCATCCAGGTTCCAATCTCCCAAGCTCCTTGTCTATACTTGTCCTTTCCTGGTCTTCTGCTAAGAACCATCCTGATCGGTGTGAGGTCCCTCTGCTCCTGTATTGTACATCCGTGCACATGGCCCAGGCCTGGCACCAGTTTACTGGCTCAGCATGTATCCTCCAGTGAATGAAGAAGACAACCAGGTCCCTGATCTTGGCATCCCTACTCCTCCAGTGAAGGAGTCCCCCAGGCCATCCCTGCTGACTCTGCCTGACCACAAACAGCCATAGTCTCTAAGGCATAGAGCAAAAGAAGGGGGCGAGGCACAGAGGAAAACGGTGCCCACTTTATTCTCTTTGTCAAGCCATAGACTCTCTGAGGGTAAGGTGCGGCAGGAAACAGGATGATCTTTACAACACGTTGCTTTCCACAAACATCTCCCCAGAGGGTGCCCACCGCGTGAACAAGTGACTGAAGTTCTCCTTTAGTGAGATAATGTACTGGCACTGGTAGAACTTTTTTTCTTTTTTTGCAAAACCTGTATATAGTAAAGTGTGTTAACTACATTAATTTTAAACATATAGCGTCACAGATTTGCACATTTGAACACATAGAGACAATCACTACACAGATCAAAATATAGAACTGCTTCTAGCAACCCCTCCTGCCCTACTCCCATCCAAAAGGAAACAGTGTTCTGATTTCTACCCTGATCAATTTTCCCTGTTTATAAATTTTGTAAAAATGGAATCACACAGTCTTCATCCTCTTGTGTTGTGCCCTTTTGCATAACAATTTCTGAGATATCTGTGCATTTTGTTGCATGTAGCAATATTTCATTGTTCTTAATTATGTAGCGTCTTCTCTGTTGGGTTCCTATAACCAAATACCATAAACCAAGTGACTTCTAACAACAGAAGTTCATTGCCCCCAGGTTGGAGGCTGGAAGTTCAAGATGAGGGGCCAGCAGATGGAGTTTGGAAAGGTTCTGCCTCCAGACTCATAAATGGCACTTTACACATGGTGGAAGGGGTGACAGGGAACTCTGGGACCTCTTTTACGAGGGCACTAATCCCAAAGGCCCTACCTCCCAACACAATCACATTAGTGATTAAGTTTCAATACATGAATTTGGTTAGGGAACCCTAACACTCAGAACTCAATGTGGTATGTTATTCTGTGAATAGGCCACAACTTATTTATTTATTTTTCTATTGATAAATTATTGACAAATCAGGTTGTTCCAGTTTAAAAACATGATTGACCTTATTTTGTGTGCACGTGTATGTACAGGGAGTTGAACCCAGGGCCTGGTGCAAGCTAGACAAGCCCTCTACACTGATCTGCACCCCCAGCCCTATGTACATTCTCATACCCTCTTTCTGAGGACATGGACAATAATTTCTTGAGTATAGACCTATGAGAGAGATTGCTAGTTGAAGGGTAAGCTCGTGCTAATTGAGCAGACGCCAGCAGCCTTCCAAACCCATTGTACCAACTTATACTCCCCGATGACCTATATTTTGAAGATCATATACTGAACATACAGACATATATTGTTATAGAAATAGATTCTCCTTTTCTTATGGGGACAGTTTGAAACTCACACCAAAAACTTGTATTGAAAATGTCCACCATGTTTAGAGGCAGAGTCGTAAAAATTTAGAAATGCCAAACCACTTAAAAATCATTTTTAAAATTATCCATCCAGAGAATTGGATTGGATTGTTGTTATCATCCACTTACAAAAAAGGTTTTGAGGTTGGGGGGGTGGAATATTTCTGATGTGAAATTACATGAAAATAATTTTTCAGGATGCAACCCTGACTGCCCAGCAAGATCTCACCTATATTGATTTGCCTAGAAAATAGGTTTTTGAAATGCATGTACAGCATGAACAGTCTTTATCTCTTAGGGACAGGATATAGGTGACAGACACTTCTTTCTTATCAGTTCCAAAATTAGAACATATTTCTTTCATAATCAGATAAAATTAAAAGCATATGCAAAAAGGCCAGGCCCTACTTTGATACCTCATTGTATATAAAATAATCAGTAAAAAGACTGTGTTTCCCCTCTGCGCTTACTCCCCACTCTGCTGTCAGCAGGAGCAGCATTGGGAGGCTGGAAGGAAGTACGCCAAAGCATTTTTAGGAGGGTCTTTGCAATTTTCTGTACTTTTCCAAATGTTCTGTAGCAAGCCAGTATCCCCTTCATGCTTGGAAGACAAAGAATAGGCTTAAATTTTTTTAAAAAGAAGGATTAAAAGGTTACCCCCTTCCCCCATCCGCACTGAAGGGGCTTTGTCCTCCTTAAGGCCATTGAGGGGCTATTTTTATCCAGTGGCATCACCACAAATATCTAGACTCAGCCACATCGTGTGCATGTTTAATGTCTCCCGGACTGTTTTTCAGATGTTTAGATGACTGGGGAAACCCACTGGTGATTGACTGGTAGATGGATGCCCTTAATTTCTAAGGTAAATGTAATGCACATGTATCAACTGACTCCTTCAGCCATCGGCCTTTGGAGTGGGTTTGCTAGTGTGCTGAACTTTGAGGTTCCCTCTGCCGCTGCCTCAGTTTCCCCAAGTTGCTACTGTGGTTGGTGGTGGAGACACAAGCTGCAGTTGGAGGGAGTATCTCAATGGATTCCATGCAGAAGCTATTTTCCCCAGGCTCAGGTCCCCGGAGCATTCAGTTAGGGTTTCTGCTGATGAGGGGCTCACAGTGCCCAGAAGAGACAGATGAGTAAATAAATGCATAACAACTGGCATTTGACAGGCTTCATTAGAAAGCTGAATGAGTGTTGTGAGATCGCAGATTGAACGACTCAGGAAAACCCTGTGGCCACTCTATCTCCAGTGGAAATGCCCACAGTCTGGCCCTATCTTCCCAACCTATCTGTCCCTCTATGTCACATTGCCTTTTACAATGTCTTTCCTTGTCAAAGCTCATGCTACACTGTTTATTCACTAGTCACACTGTAATGGAAGCTCTAGGAGTGGGGATGCCTTGTCCTTCTCTGTCACCATTGTATATCTACCTTGCAAAAACCAAGCTTCAGCTATGAGCCAGGGTCTCTTCAGAATTTCCTCAGGAACTGTCGAGGCATGGCAACCTATGTGGAATGAAAGTGGATGGAAGCTCCCGTTTCATAGCAAGCCCTACGCTGCTTTATCTTGATGATTGCAAGCTTATGTGTCAGGGTTTTGCTCAGAAGACTGTCAAGAACCCCCCCCACACACACACACACACACACACACAAAATAGCTCAAAACACCTCCCATCCCCTCCCCAATGATTCCATAGACACTTAGAAGTGCAGAGGGGCTCATATTCATTTACTCTAAACTTCTAGTATAGTCTAAAAATGAACCAAAGCAAGAGATTACAAAAGTTATGCTGTGTTTTAAATGTTTGCATATAACAAATTAATGCATCAAGAGTAGAATGTTATGTTATCCTATTAGTCACAGGACTGAATTACCGTTAGTGTAACTTGGACACTAGTAATGGGACATCAACTGAAAATTGTATGATAAATGACTTCTCTTAATGCTGAGGATGACCTCATATGAAGGTAATACCTCAAGGCTCTATCTATCTAGTGAGGTTCAGGTCAAGCGGTCCTCATGTCCCCCCCCCCACCTCATTATGTTTTCTATGAACTCTTCCTGGCACATAGAAATCTCTCACTGTGTGGCTTATACATAAATGCTAAATGAATGCATGGATAATGGGATGAATGAAGTCAAGAGAGGAGGGCTCAGGGTAGAGTCTTGGAGGACAAGCAACATACCCAGAAGCTTGGTGGTGGGCAGACATACAGCCTTTCAGGCTGTAAGGACAGGTGCACCGAGGTATGGAATTGACAAGTAGAACTGGGTGAAGTGAGAACTGCATCAGGATAGAGATGCAGATGACAAGGGTCCACAGACCAGATCCCACAGGGTGGAGGTAGACAGGGGTGGAAACAGGAAGCCTTAAAGCCAAAAAGCAGATAGGATTGGATTTGCCTTTTAAGAAATTCACTTTGACCCCAAGGTAGATCAGGAGCAGCAAACCATGGCCTATGGGACAACTCTGGCCTGAACCTGTTCTTGCAAGGGCAAGTCTTATTGGAACCCAGCCCCGCTCACTCACCTGTGTGCTGTCTGTGCTGCAGGAGAGTTAGGTAGTGGTGATGGAGATCGTCTCTGCAAAGCTGCTGGCATTCTCCAGCTGCTTCTTTACAGGAAAACTGTTGGCTCCTGCTCTCAGGGAGATGGTAAAGGTGAGTCCAGAGCCAGGGACACCAGTCTCAGTTACCAGTGGCAGATTTGCAGAGGCCAGGGGAAGAGATAGAGGAAGGATGTTGGGAATGACTCCCTGCTTCTCTCTTGGGTGACCAGGCAGATTTTGTCACATTGACTGAGAAAGGACAACAGGTTTGGGAATTGGAAAAGAAAAAGATAGGAACTTTAGTTTTCAACCTGTTAAGTTCAAGGCTCCTCAGGGACATCCAGGTAGAGGTGTCCTCCAGGCAACAGGGTAATGGATTCTGGAGGAGCCAGAGATACAGCCCTTGGAGTGCTCATATGGTATAGGATGTGAGTGGGGGGCACACAAAGGGAACAGGCTTTGGCTGAGGATGGGGCTCTGGGAATTCTCCAGAGCTCCTTCAGTTTCAGACACAAGCTCAAGAAGCCCTGGGCCCTGCTTCCTGCTTCCGCCACCAAGACAGAGAGGAACTGGGGGCCAGAGGGATCTCTGCTCTGCTTCCTGTCTCTAAGGACAGCATCAATTCTGGATCAGAATGGCTCCTTCCTAACACCTGCAGGAGTCCAATCATTATCTATATTCACCCAGGCATCGCTCTCAGGCCACATCAAGGTGATACCAAATGCAGGATGAGAAGTGGATGCTCAGTGAGAGGTTTAGAAGCCTGAGTGACAAACAGACTTCCATCAGTGGGGTTTGGCTCTCCCAATGTTCAACTAGAGAAGCGTCTTCCCTTCCAGAGACATTTCAGCTGGACCCCTCTCGCCAAGATCATCATCTTAGTTATGGGCTTAGAGGAATCATATATATGAGACATATACACCTATATGATGGTATATATCATATATACCATCATATATGTTATGTAAAGAAATATGGAAACGTATGATATATATGATACATGCATATTTTTCATTATTTTGGTCCAGTTGACAAACCCAAACCCAAAAGAAGGAGTTTACAAGAACCTCAAGTTTATGGCAAAGCTAAAAATATCCCACATCTTCTTACTCTCATCCTCGGGCTCACTCTTACCTCCACCATCTTTATGTGGCTCTTGAAGACTGTTTCTCTCCTCTTCACACCTCTTGAGTTCAAGCCATCTCTCACTCAGGATGTTGTCACGTAGGCACACATGCAGATATGGTATTATGGTTTTAAGGAGTAGAAAGCTTTGTCTCCACGTCTCTGGATTTCCTCGAGCACTTTGGCCTCCTGCCTGCCCTGACTCCTCCCTTCTGAGGCACAACGAGTTCCCGGGTTGGTGGAGACAGCTGTTGTTCCCGCGGCACCTGGTGGGCATCACCATCCAGAATCTAAAACCTGGGGATTTGTTTGCATTCTTCCCTCCAACTCCAAACTGGAGTGTGGTAGTGTTTCCTCCTTAGACGATCTGCTCTGCAAACTAACCCTCTTGCAATTTAACTGTCCCAGGTCAGATGCATTTGGCACTCACACTAACCCATGCATTCCGGCAAGGTTTTATCACCTTCAAAGTTATCTTTCAATAGCATCTTGCTGACTCCTGAATTCTGCCTTTCGATTCATTCCAAGTGTAGGCGGAGAGCAGGGAGGTTATCCACTTTTCAAAACAAACAGGGAAGCAGGACTTTTCAAAAAAAAAAAAAAACCTTCTCAGTGTCTGTGCAAGGTATGGCTAGGAGGGAGGTCAGCTCTGATGTTGTCTTTGTAGTAATTTATGTGAGACTCATGCTTTTGCCTCCAAGGAAAAAGAAGTCCAAAGCTGAGGATATTGTGTTTCATTTGGTTTGGGAATGGACCCCATCACCGTCTGGCCCAGTCTGCCTCTCAAGCCTCATTCACCATGGCTGGCTGTGCCTTTAGCCAAATTCACTTTTCCCTCAAACATGATCCAAACCTTCCAGCCTCCATCTCACACAGGTCTTCCTACGTTTCTACTTTCAATCTTAGTTTAAGCCTGGGTATGATAGTACCGCAAACTGGTGGTTAAGAAAACCACAGAAATGTATTCCCTCCCTGTTCTGGAAGTAAGAAGTCTGACATCTAGGTATCACCAAGACCATGCTTCCCCTGAAAGCTAGGATCCCTGTCTTCCGTTTCCTGACTTCTGGTGATAGTGGCAATTCTTGGTGTTCCTGGGCTTGCAATCTCTCCAGTCTCTGTCCTGTTGTCTCAAGGGCTCTTCCATTGCGTGTCTGTGTGTCTCTGAGTCTTCATGGAGCATTCTCTTCTTGCTATAGAGACAATATTAAGGACCCACTCTAATAACCTCTTCTTGACTTGATTATATCTGCAAAGACCCTATTTCCAAATAAGGCCATATTCACAGATACCAAGGGTTAGGACTTCACTATATCTTTTCGGAAGACACAATTCATTTCATAATAGATTCTATTGATGTTCACATCATATCTTTAGGGAGTGATCCCTATTGTCTCAAGTAGATGGGGCCATTCCTCCCCAGCTCCCTCAGGAACCAATGTCTATGTATGCCCATGTCTTATTCTCCTTCCTAAATGTGATACTTGGGAGAAAAATCACCAAAGATTGTGGGCTGGGGATATAGCTCAGTTGGTACAGTGCTTGCCTCGCACGTACAAGGCCATGGGTTCAATCCCCAGCACCACCAAAAAAAAATAGAAACAGGTGAAACAGGTGGTGCCAAGAGGAGAAGATGTTAACTTGGGCCCATTGATGCTACTTTATGCTCTGCAGAACCCTTCACAGAATCCAGGATTGAATGGAGCCACTGGCAAAAACTCAGAATGACTGGCCAGGAAAGCCCTGGCTCAGGATGCCCCAGGGGCTCCTCTGTAGTATATGTCAGTCTGCCTGCCAATCTCTCTGGATAATGCCAAATCCAGAGCGCAGGCTCTCAGCCGTGGCATGTGGCTTGGCCGAGTGAGGCCCACTTCCTCTTCCCACCCTGGTGTTCATGGATCCTTACAGTGGCCCACTTGGCAGGCCCAGGCTGCCTCTCCACCCGCATTCCTAGGCCACACCACAGGGCTGAGATGGCTACCTGCTGCCTTGCCTCTGGTACTGGGTCCTGTTAGAGAGAAGCTGAGGCCCCTTCAGAGATCAGCACTAGGTGGCCTGGGGGTGAGTTCTAGATACCCCAAAGCCTTAAGTTATAGCCATTCTCTTAGTCCAGGCCACCAGGTAAGAGGACTTGGTCACCTGGAATGCATTAAAAGGACGCACAACTGCCGCCTTCCAAGTCCCAGCTCCATCCTCTAGGCAAGGTTTCCATCTCAAAGTCATAAGTCTTTTTTTGCATCTTCCGTCTCTTCAAATCTCTCTGCTTCCATCACCACATGGCATTCAGCCTTTTGAGTCATATTCCTCTACCTCCCTCTTATGAGGATGCCAGAGATTATACTTAAGGCCCACTGAGATAATCCAGGATAACCTCCGCATCTCCACATTCTTAATTTCGCCACATCTCTGAAGTCCCTTTTGTCATATAGGTAACAATCACAGATTCCAGGGATTAGACTCTTGCTGTCTTTGAAAACCATTACTGGGTTCTACCACCACAATGTTAATTTGACCCCGATGCTGCAAGAAAATAAAATGATCTGGAAAGACATATACTAAGCTGTGAATGGCGGTGATTTCCTTGTGGTGATGTTCTTGTGGGAATACAATGTTTCTCTTGACTTATTTATTATTATCATTATCATTAGTTTCTAATTTTCTATAATGAGCATATACAGTTTTTTATAAAAATAAAAGAGTATTTCTAATTTTAAAAATATGTATTGCTTTCCTGCCTCACGAGAGGGTCAGAGGCCACTCAAGCAGATCAGGTCAGTCGGGTTCAAACTAAACACGTCTGAACTTCTTGTAAACACCCCGGCATGCTAGCTAAATAGTACATACCTCAGAGAGCAGTTCTCGTGATTGTATTATGCAACCCATCTCAGAAGCCCTAAGCACCATGCCGGGCATCCAGTAAGTGCTCAATATATGCCATCTATTAACATTGGTATTAATAATGAGATGGTGCTTCCCAGCGACCTGACCTCTGTCCAAATAGACTAGTTCCACCAAATGATTACAGCTGCCAAGCTCTCAGGCTGCCTCTGTGATGCCCCTTCAGGCAGCATAGATATCCCAGCATTCCTGGGTCCTTGCCCTCTTGGGGACAAGTCCTCCCTGTTTTTCTCAACTTGCTCCACAATTCTCCCAGGAAATGCTTTCTCTTATGTCTTCCCCAGATTTAGGACTCCAGCCATTTCCTTCAGCTGGCACTTCATCAAAAAGTTGGGTCAACACACCCACTCATCAGCCCCCAGTTTGCCCAAAGAATAAATCATGCTTCCCACTGCCTTATCTACCTATGATGTGCTGTCGCCAAGAATGCACTGGGTGCCTCCACCTGCCTGGGAGGTGGCCCAGCATCCTGAGCCTGGAGTGTGTGTCTTGCAGCCAGCCTCTGGCAGCTGCAAGAAGTTGTTTGCTGGAAGATCCATTACTCTGAATTGATTGGCCTGGCCTGGATGAGGACCCCAGACCACCGCATCCATGTGATCTGACCCTGACCATATGCACTCCAAGGCAGCAGCCTCCTCATGAAGCCACGTAAATATAGCTCTGTTGGATCTTCTGTTTAAGAAGAGAGGCTCTGGGCTTCCCTTGGTGCTGATGGCCAGTTAATCTGGTCAGTGTAGCTCTCCTATCATCCTGTCAATTTTCTTTTTCCATCTGATACTTCAGAGTGCCAGTCCTGGGCCAGAAACCCAGACCAGGCTCTAGACATCCACGCTCAGCGATAATAGCTACTGCTTATTAAGTGCTTATTCTGTTCCAGCAAAGGAGCTTAACTCAACCTTTCCATTGTAATCAGAAGCAGAAACTGAGGCTTCCTCAGGCTAAGTAACTTGTAAATGGTGCTGCCAACTCTTCAACTGGAGATGTCAACGTCTTATTGTTTTCCCCACGATGCCATGGTGCCTGTGAATGAAAACAAGCCCTGCTCTCAAGAGGTCCAATCCAGTGGGTGCATGTTCCAGAAGGAAATAACTGCAGCCTCCTGCAGGCTGAGCAAGGGGGTAAGAACATAGGAAATAGCAGATTTCTCTCTTATGCCCAAAAAAGTGTGACCGTGAAGTCCTCAAAGCTAACAGCTTCAGCCCCTCACTGCTCAAATGGAGTCACCAAGAAGGACACGGTCCTCTCAAAGAGTTCACAGAAGACCTAGGACACAACCTCCTTACTACTGTCTCTTCCTACTGCTTGTGGTCTGGGAGAGAGGAGAGTTAGTTTGAGGGTTGCCATATTTAGCAAAAACCAGCACAGGGTGCCCAGCCAAATTTGAATTTCAGTTAAACTACAAATAAAATTTTGCATATGTATATCCCAAGCAATCTAGGGGACATATTTAAACCAAGATACATATTCGCTGTGCATCTGAAATTCAAATTTAACTAAGTCTTCTTTATTTTATTTGTCAGCTCTGGTTGGGATAGGTCCCCCCGGGGCCAGTCCCAGCTTTGGGAAGGGGCTTAAGCTGAGAGGGTGAGGCTGAGGCTGAGCAGCATCCACCCTTTGGTTGACTTCCAGCTGATTGTGTGAAATTCAGAGAAATGTTCTGAGGAGCCAGGGTAAGAGGAAGAGGAGGGGGAGACTTGGGCTGTGCACAGCAGGAATCCGCAGACTCCAGGGAATGAGGGGCCTCTCCTTATGACAGCCATTCTGGGAAGGGGTGAGGAAGAGTGGGAGTCACTGATGGATGCAGCCCCAGGAGCAGGAGGGGCTGCTGGAGAAGGGAGCTCTGAGGAAGAAGGGACTCTGTTAAGAGGGAGTGGTCACAGGAGGATGGCATAGTGGCAGCGGGAGCATTGCAGGCAAGAGGAACATTTATAAATGCCTTCCCCACTCTTGTATTCCCCATGCTAGTTATTATAGTTCCAGTAGTTTCCTATAATAAAAAAAAAATCAAGATTTGCCTTCAGAATGTCCCCTCACACCTCTGTGACCTGGACACGTTTACCGAGCATTTCTGACTTCAGTTCTTTCCTTTATAAAATGGGATGCACAGAGCTGTCATTCAAAACAGATAAGAAAGCAATAGCATAGCTTTCTGAAGGGCTGGTGTAAAGGCCATCTCTTTCTGCAGTAAATGCTCAGTAAGTGGGTATGGGATGAACGCTGTTCTTGTGTTTCCTCTCTCTCCGCATCAAAAGCAGGTCAGGAGCTTCAGTTACATTTATGAATGCAGCTCTCTGTTGCCTTATCATTCCTTGTTCTACTTGGAGAAGAAGCTGACTGAATGATTTGAGGCTGTTCAGGGGCCAGATTCCCCAGGAGTCTGGTTTCCCTGGTCATCTGGGGGAGTCCTTTGGCACTCAGCAGCAGGCTGGGCACTGCTAGCTAATTTCCTATAGCAGGGGGTTGTATGAGATGGTCCCTCAGCGCATGATAGTTTTGAGGATGAAGTCAAGTAAAGATTATTGG